TGAGAGGAATCTTCCATTGTTTTAAAGCTTATTTCAATTATGCTTGTTTCTCACACAATAGCCCAGTGAGGTAAAAACGAATAGCAAACAACCCCTCTCGAAAGATCATACAGTGAACTTTAGAGGCCTATCCTGTAGAAGCCCTTGCCAGCAATGTTAAACAGTCCAGAAATATCTGGAAATCTGCATTTTGCCTACTCCATTATAGCAGAAATGGGCAACTTGTGGTTTTCCGGGTGTTGCTGAACTCAAAAACACATCAACTTTGGGCAGCAGACCCTATAGTCAAGACTAAGAGGAGTGACAGTTTATTTCTGGTAAGTCACAGGTTCCTTGCTCCTGTACTATATCCCATCTAATCTCTTTTTTATTGGTCCTCTCCAGGTGTTCTTGCTTAAGTATGCTGGGCAATATACAGCAGTCCCCAATTTCTGAGAGATACCTCAGTGACAATGACTGGTATAGCTAGTTTCCACTTTTGCGAGGGTTAGAGACACAGAACCCTTGCAAGAGTGGGAACACCACAGATATAGGCCTGCTAACTTTTTTTTACCCAAGAGAACACTTTGCTAGGCATGTTGACGTCCTCCAGCCAATTCCATGGTCAACTTCTGGTGGAAGTTGTGCATTGTATCATGCAGAAGGGCCTAGAAATGCCTTGAGATAACATATCTGCGGGGATACATTTCTGAACTTACTGGTGAAGCAGGAATCTGGGAATATTACCAAACCCTATAGAAATTAGCAGCAACTGCCTGGTTACCATAAAGTCATTCTAGAGAACCTAGAAAATTCCTAGAAAGGACATGTTTTATTGAATGGGTAGGTGAAACCACAAGTACTGGTCTTGCAGGTACAAGGGTCATACTATATACTGAAAGAGATGTACTGTAGTAACCAGACTGTTAGACTAGAGCTGGGAAGAGATTCTGTAATTCACTGGTTGGCCTTGGGCAATATGACAGGGCTGATGCAAGTATAAAACTGAACAAAGGAGTCATGCACAGTGTTTGGAGCTCTTTGAAGGAAAGGTGGTCTGTGTGTATTAATGAAGCTCACATATACATAGAAATGCACAAAATGGGGAAAGTTTTATTGTATCAGCACTGTACCTTGCTGCTTATAGGCTGGTCACTTTTGCGTAAGCTGGGAATCCAGGCATCCTAATGCTCCTGGAATGTGATTATTCATGCTCATTTTCGCCAAAAACTCAGGTGTCACATGAAAATGTACTTTGTTAATGACAATGAAGTGATTCACCTCAAGCTAGTGGGATAATAGCAGTTCAAAGCAGAAATTGTAGGCCGGAATGTGCAAAATGCAGTCCTCCAGCATGTGCTGGACTACCACTCCCAGCATTCCTCACCATTGTTTATACTAGCTAATACTGCTGAGACCAAAACTACAAAACCTGGAGAGCCGCATCCTTGTTTTAGGCTAAACTATTTGATTGTTCATTTCTTCTTGGCTGTCATTAAAATGTCAAAGGGAATGGAGGAGACTTAACTTTTATGAGTATCATAAGGAGGGCCCTTGATCTGGTTTCATATTTCTACAGCAGGTCAATAGCAGTCCAGCTTTTAAAACCTACATTCAAATTTTGGGTGGGCCAGTTTAATTTGACAAAGCAAACACTGGTTTTTGTTGTTATTATATTTACTTATGAGAGAAGGCTGCTAATCTAGCAGTCCAGAAAGTACTGGCAGTGCTAGGTGCCAGCTGTTAGGGAAAGCATATGAAGCCACCACCTGCTTGGATTATGATGTAACCAAGAAGCAACGGGCAGAAACACGAAGCCTTTAGGTCACTGAGAGTAACCTTTATAAGATGCATTGTGTTTTCTGCCAATCAAACTTGAGAAATGTAAATGGTATACGAGGAGGAAGCTTCTGAAGTAGAGAAAGATTTGCTCATCCCGACTCCATTTTATTCCATTCTCCGTTTCCTGGGACAGTTGTAAAATTTCACCTTAAGCTCAGAAGAGTGAGTGAGTGACGTGCTTTCAGTCCAACTCAGGATGCATAATAAGCCATTAGCAAAACTCACTGCTGTAGGAAGAAAATCACACACGCACACTACTTGGTACCTGCTTTTGCAGAGAGATAAACAGATTCTCATACTACGACCACCTTCTTCATCATCATTATCACATCTGCTCCTTTCGCTGGCATTTTTAATTCAGGTTGGCCTTCCAAGCAGCAAGACCAGGAAGTAGACTCCATTTTGCAGTTTTGGAGATTATTTGGAAATGATTATGCCCAGCAATAATATTAGGATGTGGATTTTCTGTGTCATAATAAAAACGTCAGTCTGCTCCCTCTCTGCAAAATCAGTGCTCCAGTTTTGTTGTCCTTAAACTTGCTGAGTGCCATGACTGAGAGAGTTAACCTTCTCCACCGCTCCCTCCCTGCACAAATACAAAGCAACAACATGTATTGGGAACCAGCTTTTGGGAACCATGCAAAAAAAAAAAAAAGCATGTCTTTTGTTTCCTCTGGGTGTGCGAATGGGAAGGACAGCCTCCTGCTCAACATTTTCAAAATAAGGCAGCCTACAGTCTCATTCAGTTTAGGAGCCTCCATTATGCTCCCCAGCAGCAGGCCTGGACAATACAACAGCCATCAAGCCGAATGCAGTGCACCAGGTGGCCCCCCAAATGCCAGCTTTGCTCCTTTGCATACTCAGTGGGCCTCCAACAGCTGTATTTGGCCCAGCAGGTCATCGGTTGTGGGATCTGCTCTGCCTCTAGATGACATTAATCCTAGTCTAAAATTAGAGCCGTCACTTTGTCACTTTCTACAAGAAAGCCTTTGGCACTTATTCCCAAAGATCCATGCTTCTTAGGTGAGGCTGCGACACTTTGCGTGAGCCCAGAGATGCTTCCTTGGTCCTTGGCAAGTCCCAGACAAGCTCAGACAAAGCCTGGAGATGAGATGAGGGTTGATCAGAGGGAAGGGTGCTCCTCTGTGCAGGCACTTAGCAAATAAACAAGTTGTTTTGTTTGGGTGCAAATTAAGAGAATTGGGGGAAGGCGAAGGGGGGGGGGGAATCCCTCACTGAGGCAAAAAACTGATAAAATGCCACCTCAGACAGTGAGGAATGCAAGGAACACAAACATGGCACTAAGTAAAGGTAAAGGTTTCCCCTTGACATTAAGTCTAGTCATGTCTGACTCTGGGGGGTGGTGCTCATCTCCATTTCTAAGCCGAAGAACCAGCATTGCCCATAGACACCTCCAAGGTCATGTGTCTGGCACAACTGCATCGAACACCATTAGCTTCCCGCTGAAGCAGTACCTATTGATCTATTCACATTTGCATGTTTTCGAAATGCTAGGTTGGCAGAAACTGGGGCCAACAACAGGAGCTCACCCCACTCCCTGGATTCAAACTGTCAACCTAACCGGCTTGTCAGCAAGTTCTGCAGCTCAATGGTTTACCCTGCTGCACCACCGGAAGGGGGGTGGGCTCCAAACATAACACTAAGTACATGCATTTGACCATATCACCTTCCTTTTACCCTCTTTTCCTCTGTCACTAAAGCAGAGTGAGGCTCTTTAAAAGGTGAGGGAGAACTTACCTGAGGAAAGGATGCTCCTGAAGGCAGATAGTTAGCAAGTAAACAAGATGCAAACTAAGGAAATGTGGGGGGAGCGATACAGAGAATAAAATCACTCATTCTGTGGCTAGTGTTTAAGCTGGCATTCCAGGCCGCAAGGGTCAGTGTAGACCAGGCATAGGCCAGCTTGGGCCCTCCAGGTGTTTTGGACTCCAACTTCCACTATTCTTAACAGCCTTAGGCCCCTTCCTTTTCCCCCTCAGCCATTTAAGCAGCTGAAGGGAAAAGGAAAGGGACTGAGGCTGTTAGGAATGGTGGGAGCTGAAATCCAAACACCTGGAGGGCCCTGAGGCTGTTAGGGATGGCRGGAGTCCAAAACACACTGAGGGCCCTGGGGCTGTTAGAAATGGTGGGGGTTGGAGTCCAAAATTTCTGGAGGATACTGAGACTGTTAAGAATGGTGGGAGTTGGGAGTCCAAAACACCTGGAGGGCCCTGAGGTTGCTAGGAATGGTGGGAGTTGGACTCCAAAACACCTGGAGGGCTCTGGGGCTGTTAGGAATGGTGGGAGTTGAAGTCCAAAACACCTGGAGGGCCCTGAGGATGTTARGAATGGTGGGAGTTGGGASTCCAAAACACCTGGAGGGCCCYGAGGTTRCTAGGAATGGTGGRAGTTGGACTCCAAAACACCTGGAGGGCTCTGGGGCTGTTAGGAATGGTGGGAGTTGAAGTCCAAAACATCTGGAGGGCCCTGAGGATGTTAGGAATGGTGGGAGTTGGACTCCAAAACACCTGGAGGGCCCTGAGGCTGTTCGGAAGGGTGAGAGTTGGACTCCAAAACACCTGGAGGGCTCTGSGGTTGTTAGGAATGGTGGGAGTTGGTGTCCAAAACACCTGGAGGCCCCTGAAGCTGTTCGGAAGGGTGGGAATTGGGGTCCAAAACACCTCGAGGGCCCTGAGGCTGTTAGGAATTGTGTGAGTTGGACGCCAAAACACCTGGAGGGTTCTGGGGCTGTTAGGAATGATGGGAGTTGGATTCCAAAGCACCTGGAAGGCCCTGAGGCTGCTAGGAATGGTGGGAGTTATAGTCCAAAACACCTGGAGGGCCCAAGTTGGCGCATGCCTGGCGTAGACTGATACAATGCAGGTCAATGCAGGTCAACTGCATTGTGGCAGTGGAGACGGGGGCTTGGAGTCTCTTTGAGAAGGAAAAGGTGGTAAATAAATATGACGATGATGAAGCGGAAGGGATGGAGAAGGTGAAAGGAAATGGTGGGGGTCCATCCAAGCCCTATGGGTCGCCATAGAAGCTCCCCAAAAAAGACCAAGCGAGGGATGGAGAGGAGGCGCAGGCCGCCCCAAGCAGGAGGAGGGGGGTGCAGGCATCCCTTTCCTGCGGCCACAATGGGCACCCATTCCCAGCCCCAGTCCCATTGGACTCACGAAATTCTCCCCGCAGCCGTTGTCCGGGCAGAGGACGTAGAAGGAGACGCCCGGGTCGGCGTAGAAGTCCATCCTCCGCTCCGTCTCCTCGGTGGCGATGAGCTCGAAGGGGTTGCCCGAGCACCATTTCTCCGCAACGTCCGCCAGCTGCTGGAAATCCATCCTCGCTCGCCCCGGCGGCCGCCTTTTAGCCGCCGCCTCCTCCTCCTCCCTCTCCCTCCCTCTCTCCCTCCTCCTCCGCCTGCGTGACTGTCTCCCTTCCCTTCGAGGCGGCCCTCCCTTCCTTGCCTCCTTCCCTGGACGAGGAAAGGGTTAATGGGGGCCGTGCCTCTCCCTCCCTCAGTCTCCCCCTCTGGCCCTGGGACCTAGGCCTCCCCGCCTGCCTCGCCTCCCCTGCGCTGTATTGTTTACATGCCGTGTTTGGAAGCAGGCCGGCCTCGCCTTCGCTCCCTCCTCCTCCTCCTTCAGCCCCCCCCCCTCGAATCTCGCTGAGGCAGAGAGGGTCACTCCTCAGCGGACGGGGATGGCTGGATTGGGCCGGATCCTTCTGGATTCCAGGAGATCCACCCACTCGGCCTCCGGAAAAACAGAACATATCCCATCAAACCCAGCTTCAGTTCTGCCTCAGATCTCCCCACCTCCACCCCGTGTGCCTCCGCCACCTGCTGCCAAAGGGCCCGCTTCTCCCGTCCTTCGCCATCAAAGGAACAGGGGGAAGTCCCTTTCCTGCCCTCGTTGGATGAGGGGAGACTCAAGGAAATTTCCTCACAGGAAACGAAGGAAATCTCTCTCCCCTCCACACTGTATGAGGGGAAACTCAAGGAAATTTCCTCATAGGAAAAATGAATCTCCCCACCTCACTACATAAGGGGAAATTAAAGGAAATTTCCTCACGGTAAAGAAAGAATATTTCTCACATCCTCATTATATGAGGGGAAGCTGAAGGAAATTTCCTCAGGAAATGAAGGAAATCTCTCTCCCCTCCACACTATATGAGGGGAAACTCAAGGAAATTTCCTGACAGGAAAGAAAGGAATTCTCTCTTCCTCACTAAATGAGGGCAAACGCAAGGAAATTTCCTCACAGGAAAGAAATGAATTCTCTTTTCCTCACTAAATGAGGGAAAGCGTGAGGAAATTTCCTCGTAGGAAAGAAAGGAATTCGCTCATCCTCACTAAATGAGGGGAGACTCAAGGAAATTTCTCATAGGAAATGAGGGGAAACTCAAGGAAATTTCCTGACAGGAAGGAAAGGAATTCTCTCTTCCTCACTAAATGAGCAGAAACGCAAGGAAATTTCCTCACAGAAAAGAAAGGAATTCTTTTTTCCTCACTAAATGAGGGGAAGCTCAAGGAAATTTCCTGACAGGAAGGAAATAAATTCTCTCTTTCTCATTAAATGAGGGGAAACTCAAGGAAATTTCCTCATAGGAAAGAAAGGAATTCTCTCTTCCTTACTAAATGATGGGAAACTCAAGGAAATTTCCTTATAAGAAAAAAAGGAAATCTCTCTCCCCCCCCCCCTCTCACCTTCATATGAGTAACTCAAGGAAATTTCCTCACAAGAAAGAAAGGAAATCTCTCTCCCCTCCTCACTATATGAGGAGACACTGGGGAAAATCTAACAGGAAAGCTAGGAAATCTCCCACCCTCATTATGAGGGGAAACTGAAGGAAATGTACTCATAGGAAAAGAAGGATATCTCTTTCCCTCCTTCATTATATGAGGGGAAACTGAAGGAAATTTCCTTACAGAAAAAGAAAAGAACTACCTCCCACCTTCATTATATAAGGGGAAACTCAAGGATATTTCTTCATTGCCAAGAAAGGATATTTCTCCCTCCCTCATATGAGGGGAAACTCAAGGAAATGTACTCAGAGAAAAGGAAGGAAACCTCTCTTCCGTCCTCATTATATGAGGAAAAACTCAAGGAAATTTCCTCATAGGAAAAGAAGGAAACCTTCCATCTTCATTATATGAGAAACTTGTGGAAATTTCCTCACAGGAAAGGAAGGATATTTCTCTCCCCTCCTCACTATATGAGGGGAAACTCAGGGAAATCTCACAGGAAAGAAATGAAATCTCTCGCCCTCATTATTTGAGGGGAAACTGAAGGAAATGTGCTCATAGGAAAAGAAGGAAATCTCTTTCCCACCCTCATTATATGAGGGGAAACTCAAGGAAATTTCATAACAGGAAAGAAAGGAAATCTGCCCTCATTTTATGAGGAAAAACTCAAGGAAATTTCCTCATAAGTAAGTAAATTTTCCATCTTCATTATATGAGAAATTCAAGGAAATTATCTCATAGGAAAGGAAGGAAATCTCCCACCTTCATTATATGAGGAGAAACTCAAGGAAATTTACTCATAGGAAAGAAAGCACATCTCTCTTCCCCTCACTATATGAGGGGAAATTTAAATAAATTTCCTCACAGGAAAGGAAGGAAACCTCTCTCCCCATTTCACTATGTGAGGGGAAACTCAAGGAAGTTCCTTCATAGGAAAAGAAGGATATCTCCCTCTCACTTTCATGAAGGGAAACACAAGGAAATTTCCACACAGGAAAAAAAGAAAATCTCTCTCCCACCTTCATTGTATGAGGGAAAACTCAAGGAAATTTCCTAGCAGGAAAGAAAGGATATTTCTTTCCCACCTTCATTATATGAGGGGAAACTCAAGGAAATTTCTTCATAGGAAAAACAGGAAATCTCTCCCCTCCTCACTATATGAGGAGAAACTCTGAAATTTCCTCAGGAAAGAAAGGAAATCTCTCCCCCCCCCCAAGGAAATTTCCCGCCCTCATTGTATGAGGGGAAATTCAAGGAAATTTCCTCATAGGAAAGAAAGGATATCTTTCTCCTGCTCTTATTATATGAGGAGGAATTCTGGGAAATTTCCTCAGGAAAGAAAGGAAATTTCTCTCCAGCTCTCTCTATATGGGGAGAAATTCAAGGAAATTTCTTCAGAGGAAATGAAGGAAGTATCTCTCATGCCCTCACCATATGAGTGGAAACTCAATGAAATTTCCTAATAGGAAAGAAGGGATCTCTCTCTCTCTCTCTCTCTCTCATCTTCACTATTTGAAGAGAAATCCATGGAAATTTCCTTATAAGAAAAGAAAGATATTTCTCTCCTGCCCTCCCCAGATGAAAAGAAGGAATTTTCCCTTTTTCCCTTGTGAAGTGGTTGCAAAGGAGAAAGAGGAGGCCCTTTTGCAGCAGGTGGCTGTGGCTGAGGAGAAACAACCAAAAGGTGGTGGCAGGTTGCCAAACCCAGCTCCTCCATTCTGCTCAGTTTTGACATTTTATTTTATTTTTGTTATTTTTTTGGCATTGAATTTAAGTGACCCCTCATTTCGTCAAATGAATCTGTCTCCATCCAAATAGAATGGCACGAAATTACAGGGCCGGGTCTGGAGAATTGAGTGTACATTTAGTATTTTGGATCCTGCCAAGGCTAACCAAGTCTAGGACAATTTTAGGTGATCAAATTACACTCAGACTGTGGGTCTTGGCATGAATGCATCTTGTTTGGGGGGTTGTTTGTTTGTTTTTGTTTTTAGGCAAATTATATGTTCATTCACAGCTGTCTCAGGCTGGATCTGCACTGCCAAATAATGCACTTTGAACTCCACTATATGGTCAGTGTAGACCCAAATAATGCAACTATATAATTAAGTTCAAACTACATTATTTGGCAGTGTAGATCCAGCCTCAGGCTATAGGTAAAATCCAGGGTTTTTTAAAAAGCCAAATGTAGATGAGTTATTCTCGAAGTAACTCAGGTGTGGGTCTTGGTATGAACGCATCTTGGTTTTTTTAAAGCTAAATTTAGATGTATTCTTCTGCAATTGTCTCACGAACTGCAGACGATTATTATTATTATTATTATTATTATTATTAGAAACACAACAAGATGAGTCCACAGCAGACAAGATCACTCTGCTGGCTGTTGTATTGGTTCACATGTTGGACACTTCCCAAGTGTCTAGGACTGTGTGATGTATTGGCGAATAATGCGTGCACATCTGAGTAGGGTGGCCTTTTGCAGCTAGCAGATGGTAATTTTGTCAACGCCGATTGTTTTTATATGCAGGCCAAGGTCTTTAGGCACTGCACCCAGTGTGCCGATCACTACTGGGTCTACCTTGACTGGCTTGTGCCAGAGTCTTTGCAGTTCGATCTTTAAATCCTCATTTGTGTCAGCTTTTCCAGTTGTTTCTCTTCAGTCCTGCTGTCACCTCGGATGGCAACATCAACAATCCATCCTTTGTTTTTTAACATGCTTGTGAGATCAGGAGTATTGTGCTCCAGAACTCTGTAAGTCTAAATTCAGAAGTCCCAGGGTAGTTTGATGTGTTGATTTTCTGTAACTTTTTCAGGCTTGTGATCCCACCAGTTCTTTGTCGCAGGCAAATGGTATTTGTGGCACAAGTTCCAATGAATCATCTGAGCAACTGTGTTATGCCTCTGCTTGTAGTCTGTCTGCGCGATCTTCTTGCAGCAGCTGAGGATGTGATCTGTTGTTTCATCTGCTTCCTTGCAGAGTCTACACTTGGGATCTGTTGTCAACTTTTCTATTCTGGCTTTGATGGCATTGGTTCTAATGGCTTGTTCTTGGTCTGCCGGAATCAGGCCCTCCTTTGTCTCCTTTTTCAAAGTTCCATTTGTGAGCGACAGCCATGTTTGTTTGTTTTTGTCAATTTGGCTCTCAATCTTTCCCAGGAACTGTCCATGGAGAGCCTTCTTTTGCCAGTTTTCTCTTCTGCTCTGGATTGTGTTTTTACAGTATTCACTCTTTGTCTTTTGCACTTTAAGCAATTTACTACTATTGACTTCCCTCAATGTTGGTTCGTGACTGCCTTTCACATAATCTGCCAGTGCATGTTTCTCTTCTTCTGCCATTATTATTATTATGATTATTATTATTACAAAGGCTGGATGGCTATCTGTTGGGGATGCTTTGTGCTTTTACTGCATGACAGAAGGGAGGTTGGACTGAAATGTTTTGTTTATGTTGGTCAAAAGGTTTGCCCATTCTTTATACACACACGCACACACACAATATATATAATATATAAAATAATATATAAACATTTTTGGGGTCTCTAAAAGAAACTTTCCCTTCAAATAGGGCTCCGCAGCTGAAAAAGTTTGAGAACCCCTGATCTAGATTATATAGCAGTGTAGATCCAGCTTTAGCCTCAGAAACCCTCATTATAGTTTTGTCTTAGGGTCATAATAAGTCTGAAACTATTCGAATGCACAAAACAATTTAGAAATCTACCCCATTCACTTTTATTTTAGGATATCTACCTTTCTGTTACCAGGGTTGCCTTACCTTTAGGCAGAGTGAGACAACTATCTAAAAAAGACACAGCAAATGTTTAAAATTTCTACAGGGGTTCCTCAATATGCCAAAATGCTCTAGAACATTCTGTGTACAGACTACCTTGATGGGTTGTGTGTGTGTGTATGTGTTATTGTTACTAATTTAGTTATTTGAAAGGGGCATGATGGGATTACACTTCTCAACACTCTTATGCAAATGAAAGTTATTTACAAAGTATTGCTATTTCTCTGGTGGGGTTTTCTTTTAATATATTTTCGTCATTGCTCTAAATGCATTGATTGCACAGAGTGTTATAATTAATTGCTTTTAAAATATGCACATTAGTTTCTTGTTTTTCTTTTCAGCTATGCAAATTTCTTGAAAAGTATTCCCATTCCTCTACTTGACATGCAGATGAGCCTGATGTTCAGTTTTTTTCAGGGGCAAATCTGAATCAAACCGCCCTGAGGCCCCTTGGGGAGACAGGGCAGAATATAAATAAACGTATTTATTTATTTATTTATTTATTTATTTATTTATTTATTTATAATAGACTAAATACAATGCTTGGATAAGGTACATTTTTTTTTTGGATTGGCTACCCATGCTGGTTGAGGAACTCTGAAAGTGGTAGTCCAAAAAGTAAATTGTGCCATGCTGCCACAAAGAACAACTGTTGTTGTTTTTTTTGTTTTTTAAGAGGAGCTCCATAATCATTAATGGAGTAAAGCACCTATTTCAGGCAGCATATGTTGGGATGCTGAGAACAAATGTGAGGCAGTGGAAGACCTCTATGCCACACAATCCACTTTATAAATAAAGTTTATTATTACATTCACTAAGCTACTTTGTTCCTCTCAGGTGAAGAATATGGTTCCTTTTGTTAGTCTTCAGGTAAGATCCAGCTATTCTCACTATCTGTACATGTGTGGCTGGGAAACAGAGAGGATCCATCTTGTTCTTCAACAATTCTTTGACCATAGATGGTTTTCTTAACTATAATTCTATGTGCTGAGTCTAAGGGTGCATCTACACCGAGTAATTAATTCAGTTTGACACTACTCTAACTACCATGGCTGAATGCTATAGAACTGTGGGAATTGTAGTTTTACTGTTTTACCTGCCAAAGAGTGCTGGTGCTTCATTAAGCAGTAACTCCCATGATTTCATAGCATGGAACCAAGGCAGTTAAAGTGGTGTCAAACTGCATTAATTCTACACTGTGAATCCATTCTAACAGGGCACAGAATAACAGACCTTGAGAAATATTTATTTATTTATTTATTTACTTTGCTTATATACCGCTGTATCTCAAGCCCGAAGGCGACTCACAGCGGTTCACAAACAGTAAAAACAGTAGAAACAGCAGTGGTTCCATGCAACATATAACAATTGACTTAACACATTATCCATAAATTACCAATAAGCAATTACAATGCACAATTATTACGAAAAACAACCGTACCCAATCTTCTCATCATCCAAGCGTAGTCCAGGTTCGTCGTCCATTGTTCCATTCCTATGTTCCATTACCAGATTGCACTAAATTACTCAAACGCCTGCACAAACATCCAGGTCTTCACCTTTTTGCGGAATACCATTAGAGATGGTGCTAGTCTAATGTCCGTAGGAAGGGCGTTCCACAGCCGAGGAGCCACCACCGAGAAGGCCCTATCTCTCGTCCCCACCAGCCGAGCTTGAGAAGCAGGCGGGATCGAGAGCAGGGTCTCCCCGGAAGATCTCAAAGTCCTGGTGGGTTCATAGGCAGAGATGCGGTCAGATAGGTAGCTTGGGCCAGAACCGTTTAGGGCTTTAAAGGCCAACGCCAGCACTTTGAATTCAGCCCGGTAGCAGATCGGTAGCCAGTGGAGTTGGCGCAACAGGGGGATTGTATGCTCCCTGCGCTCCGCTCCTGTTAAAATCATGGCTGCTGAGCGTTGGACTAGTTGGAGCTTCCGAGCTGTCTTCAAAGGCAACCCCACGTAGAGAGCGTTGCAGTAGTCTAAACGGGATGTAACCAGAGCGTGGACTACCGTGGCCAAGCCAGACTTCCCAAGGTACGGGCGCAGCTGGCGCACAAGCTTTAGCTGTGCAAATGCTCCCCTGGTCACCGCCGAAACCTGGGGTTCCAGGCTCAGCGATGAGTCTAAATATGTTTTGACAGCTCCCAGAATTCCACAAATTGCATTAACTTCAATGCTGAGTGAGTGACTGTGTTATTTATTCAAATATACTTTCCTAAGCTCCGTTTAGTTTTCTAACCAGAAATTATGTCCAATTCAGTTACTGAGATCTCAAAGTCCTTTTGTACTTTGGGTGGGTATCACCCGAGCATTGCCTTTGTCAACATGGCATCCTCCAGATTGCAGCTCCTACCGACCCAACCAGACTGGACACTGGTCATAGATGATAGAAATTGTAATTAAACATTGGGCACCACATTGGAAGAAGAGATATCTTGGCATGTTTTCTAAAAATTTTTGTTCTAAGGAAAGGAATTTGACCAGAATACTCATAGCATCTAAGAGTGAGAAGGTCTCAAGAGTAGTAGGCTTGGCTACCTATCTTTATGAAAGTTCTGTGGTCTCCTTTAATTTAATTAAAATATTTGTCTTTCTCCATGCAGTACGGAATGTGTAGTAAATTGTCACATGCTTGAGAATCAGCCAGTCTTTGAAGCTGCAAGGCCATTCAATGCTAATCAAGGTGGCCAATTCCAACATTCACACTTGCCTCAAGCAGACAAGAGTTCTTTCTTCCACCCTGGACATTCCATAGATATATAAACCTCACTTGCCTCGTTTCCAACAGACCACACAACCTCTGAGGATGCCTGTTATAGATGTGGGTGAAACGTCAGGAGAAAATGCTTCTTGAACATGGCCATATAGCCCGTAAAACTCACAGAAGCTATGAAAGCTTTCGACAACTACTTGAGATTGTTAGAAACAGAATGAATGAAGTATTTCTTGTGGAACTTTGTTATGTCTCTAAGGATTACTTGGCTCAGTCTTTGCTTTACATGAGCTTTCTTAGCAGTCTACCCCTTGTAATCTGGTTCATAAGACATATTTCTAGGACCAAAAACTCTTTTCCCTTTGATTCAAGCCACATCTTTGTTTTTTACTCAGACTTGTGAAATGGTCATTACTGCATTTTGTCCCATCATTTAGTGTTGTAATTAGCGCCTGCAATAAATAAACATGTTGCTTGTTGCAAGGGCTGTCTGAGGAATTCTATTTGCTAACTGCAGTTTTTGTGTAGCAATGTAGACTTGGGAATCTTACCCTTCCAGAATCATAGAATAAGCGTCTTGCCATGGGCAAACACTCGGTTTGATGCTGTGGATTTTGGGCTCATTGTCTTTTTCCCCAAAAGTGAGATCCTTTCCAATCCCCTCACTCGTTTTGACTCTGCACCTTCTATTTTCCTTAAATGACGATGAATCTTACATGGTAAGATTCTTCTTACATGGTAAATGTGATGCCATAAAACTCAAAGGACCACCTTCTACACCACACTTGCTGCTCCCCCTACTCCATATTTTGTGAAGCTCACTTCCCCTTCACCCCCATATTTTCTTTAACTATTTTAAAAAGAATAAACTGTGATCCCAGTTCTGTGGAACTGACAAACCAAAAATCAAGCTTTTGCTAACACTGAAGGTAAAATAAAACTTATATCATGCATTCTATCTTTGTTAGTGTAAAGCACTAGATACTGTGAAATAATTACCACTAATTAATGTGTGAGCCCAGATTTCTGATGAGCTAGAGAAAACTCTTACGAGGAACGAAGCACAAAATTTAGATTGCTGAAGTTCATTTTTTATTTAAATAAAATCTTTAAAAGAAAAATTACTACAAAATGTACAATTAGGTGTATATACAATTTACATAAATGTAAACATATATTATTAGACTAACGAGGCAAATATATTTACGATCTCAAAATAGTATATTACACAAAAATAGTATATCTGAAATAAGCTTTAGTTCTACTTTGACCTCTTTAATGCTTGAAATAGGTCTCGGTTGCTTCAATTCTGCTCTGTACATGGCCAATCTGGTACCACAGCCTTTTAAATCAATTGGTATGAGACTTACGCAAAGCATGATCTTTTAAGAAGATAGCGAACTGATACAAAAGTTCCATTGCACAGGCATATTCCATACAAATTTAATACAACTTCAATCTTTATTTAGCTTTTGGAGCAAATATTTTCTTCATGTTGATACACAGAACATCAAAATGTAAACTATTTGCAGTACAATCCACATAGGCTAAGTCAGAATTACACTCTGGTAAAGTTAATGTGTAGAAGATATTGGTGATTCATTATATTACTATACTGTACTTGCCCTCTGCAAGTAGCCATGGAGAACAATAAACACTATCAGATACGAAAGCCTTGTCCTTTCACTACTGAAAACGTGTGCTGCATCTTTGCAGAATGCTTATTAAAATAATGCTTAACTTTTATAGCTATAAGGCTTGGAAACCTGCTTAAAAACAACATTCTGATGAGCTCTACATTCTGAATTTGTGAACTACCCTATCTATATGCTTACGAAGTTTCAGAAGAATGCAACGTTTAGGGGAAAAAATACTGATTTTTTTCCCAATTATGTTAGGAAGTTAGAAAGCCAAGCATGTGGAGAATATTTGGTATGGATAGTTTAATTCACTATGGTGTGGAACATTTTGGAGCCAAGCATCCTAAAATTCAAATAGCAAAGCACTCACATGAATGTATTACACTAATTTTAGCTACAGCAGTTTCTGCACGAGTTAAGAGAAGCACAGTTGGCTAAGCTCTACCTCACTTGATTCTTAAAGCTTACCTGGTTTTAACACAGTTTTTTTTTTGTCACAACCTCCAGAATCCTCAAGTCAAGGATTTTGTGGCCTAGGATCCAAAATAAGCAGTATTTCCAAATTCTAGGCCTCTGATTCTGTCCCTCCCAGTTCCATGCTAGCAGTGAGTAATGAGAGTTTCTCCTTCAGCCTACCGATTATCATGACAACATCCATACAAGGCCCACCTATTACTTTTCAAGAGTGGCACAAAAGCATGCATGAGAGACATTTCCTCAAGTGCCACAGCCATATTGCTGCTTCATCTGTGTAACAGTCAGTTATAGTTTGTGCCACCAAAGTATGCTACTGGTCTTTTCCACAGGTATTTTGAAGATGGGATTATAACTTTGGTACAACAATTGTGCAAAATGGCAGAACTTCAAATGAAAACATGGATCTCTGCTTAAATTCATATACAACTAAGGCACCTTTATTTAATTAGAAGTAGAATTTTATCTGTTTTCTTTTGCCTGCTAGAGCAAGAGATAATTAAAGCAAAGTTAATGATCTCTTGCTCTAATAAAGCAAAGTAAAGCAAGAGATCATTAAAGCAAAGACCTCAGATTGAACACGCCTAAAAACCTCTCATCCTTAAATATGGAATGAGAGATAAATGACAGTCTACAGCTGAGGTTCCATGGGATTCCCAAGAAATCTATACATTTTCTTCATATTTCTTCACAAGTTCCCTGATCAGTCCATCCCATTTCAGTCTCAAAAAACATTATTTTACACATTTGTCTATCAACACATAAAATTGTACACAAATGTAACAATATAAATCAGATTAATCTAGAAAAATAGTTTGTATTTTATAATGCGTAAGAGTTTCTCATATTTCTTCATTTAAGAACACAAAATATACACATTCCTGCTTGTTAACATTTTAATAACTAGACTACACTTAACTCAAAAGGTCTTTAAAGTACATATACTGTGTAGATGTAAAGATACGGAAGACAATCCTTCCTCCCTGCTCTATAAAATATAATAAACTCTCATAGTTATTAGACACTTGGATTGAGAGGAAGCATTTTTGAAAAATCAGATGGGAGACAAAATTCTTGACCTCTGAAGCAGCAGAAATTCCCATCAGTCAACAAGCCCATAGTTTTAGATACCAGTTAAATGCTGATTTTTCATTTTATTGGAATTTTACATCTCTCCATTGTTAAATGAGTTTTGGCTCATTGATTATTTCTACATTCAATTTCTGCATTTTATTTGAATTATTGTACTGTGGTCAAGGTAATCTTGCTGCACATTGCATACATGATGCAGATTATAACAAATAATCCATGAAAAGTTGTGCCCACTACAGATCAACATAGCTTGGCAGATAAAACGGATTACTAGGTGGAAGCAAAGTAAGCTCTATTCTGGGTAGTGTTTGTTCTGGGACTCCATATAGGGAAATATTTTTCAATTTGAGAAATTATGAGCTTCAACATTTCCTTGCCATACTTATGTTGGGAAAACAAAACATATTTCCAAGAAAACTATCACAAAGGTATCACATTTCTGGGCCTTCCAAATATATTAGTACGTTTCATTATGTGCTCAGATGGAAGCCAGTGTGGTATAGTGGTCTGAGCACTGGACTATGACTTCGGAGTCCAGGGTTTGAATTTCAGTTCAGCCATGAAAATCCACTGGGTGACCTTAGGTAAGGAAACACTCAACTTCAGAAGAAAGCAAGGGCAAACCCCCTCTCAATGAATTTTGCCAAGAAAACCTCATGATATGGCGAATCTAAGTCCGAAGCAACTTAAAGCACAAAACATGGGATTGGGCCAATATGAAGTCCTGACGCATGTGAGACAACACCATGCATATAGGCTGCAGACCAATGAGCATCCTTTATATGAGAATGGAGTTGTGGGATATTTAGAATTTATTGTACAAAAGTCATAAAGGGAATGTTAATGCTTCTTAGTTAAACTGTTGTTTTTTAAACAATACTCCCTCCCCTCACATGCCATTTCCACCTTCAGCCGGGAAGCTAAGTATGGTGGCTGTAATGGCTGTGGCAGTGGGAATCATAATCTCGTCTTCAGTCATCCTGCAGAATATTCTCAGTTGCCAAATACCAGCCTGGGCAACAGTTGGCTTTCATTTATTGGCACAGGAAGCAGAGCAATTGTTGATGAGAAAGCCATCTAATGCTCTTTATGGCTCAGACTGTGAAATACAGCATAGTATTTTTCTCTTAGACATTTCCAAAAGGTGCCTAGAGAAGTTGTATGCTATTGGTACAGTGCTACTTGTTACAATTATCGGTTTGTTTATACTCTGCCTTTTACTGAAACACATTAAAAACATCAAGCCCAGTCAGGACATGACCGAGATAGTATCCGCCCGCTTCAGGACCGAATATCGAATTGACTGCGAACAATCAAGAAATGCTTGAACAGTTGGTGAAACTGCACAAGATCAACAAATACATGAAGTTGTATGGTATAACACATTACAGGAAAGAAAGAAAAACTTAATTAAGCACGAGAAGAAAAGTATGAAAACATTTCCTCCCAGTGTGTTCCTTAATTCTGATATTTTATGTTCAGGTTTTATGTTAGATATAATTTTTTGATAGGTTAAGTTTTATTTACTCTATAGATATCATGTTATAAGTTGTTTTTATATGTTGGATTACTTTGGGCTATTATGTTGGCATTTGTTGTTGTACTGAGGCATTGAATGTTTGTGTTTTTTGTTTGTTGTCATCCGCCCTGAGTCCTCTTGAGGAGATAGGGTGGAATATAAATAAAGTTTTAATATTATTATTACCAAAAATAATTATTGTATCAGCTTTTAGGAACAGAAAAGCCTTAACTTAGTCCTCTAAATAAATTCATGAATTCATATTACTCTATGAGAAGATTAAACAGTGTGCCTACCCATCCACATGTAGGTCTGTCAGCCATTTAGGGGCATACCAAGAATCCAGAAGGCAAAAAGAAGAAGTGGTGCTCTTCCAGTTTACTAAAGGTTCCTTGCCTGCAGACAGTTTTTACATCAAGGCATTCATAATTCTGCCTTAAGCTCAGCAAACCCAATATAATGGTATATCTCAATGTGATGTCTTCCTTTCAAATCTGCACTACATTTCCTATTTGATTTTCAAAATGGTTAACCTGGCATATATTTGGACTATAGACAACTTTTGCTTTAAAACTGCCAGGGCACCAAACTATTCCTAAAAGCAAGAGTTCTACTGGATTACATCACACTTATTATTATTTAAGCTTTATAGAGTGTCAGCGCAGAATGAACACAGATTACTATATTAGTATATTCACATCCGTTTAAAAACTTCAGAAGAATATACACAACATACACAATGTGCACATAAAATTAACACAATATAAGCCTTGCTTCAGGAACATTCGCTGCCTTTGCACCTTCCAAAATCGCATGTTTGCTCAGCTGTGTCTCAAACCAGCTTTCACTTGATGTCATTCTTACTGCATATTTGCAACAGGAAACCACAGGAGAAACCTCATTCTAATCATCGCTGTCACTCCCAGATTCACTCAACTGCAAGTCATTTCCTGCATTTTTTTTTTAAAAAAGGAAAAGTTACATTATTTTCTATGTATGTTACACATTGAAGAATTGCTGGATTTCTCTCCAAACTGGGGGAAAATGAGAAGATGCTCTCCTTAGATTTTAATAGGACTTAGTTCTACAGGGTATGTTTTAAATGGAAGTTCTGCCCAGTGCTCACTGGTTTAACAATCACTTGAAGCCTAAAGGTAGCAGTGACCTGGAAACTTAACGCTTTACAACCTTCTTGACTAAGCAGAGCCACCTTGGGTGGAGCCAGTCTACAGAGCCCTGTTCAGCTTCTATCTTTCTTCATTATTTATTTACAGGGCTTAAAATGCTTACAGGTATAGCCATGCTTTTCTAATTTTACTCAGCATGACCAAAAATATCACACTGGACATTTGCATCTATTATCACAATTAAACACCAGAACTTTGGTAAAAAAATAAAGTTAAAGAAACATAAACAGATGGGACGGGGAACCTACAAAATCAACATAGTTTTCATTAGAACAGCAATCCCTGCCCTCAGATATGTAGATGCATGCCTGACAAGGCCACTCAATTATGACCAAGTATGCCTTAAAAAGGAATGCAAACTACTCTCATACTAGTTGAAAAAGAACTAACTTTAGGAAATGGGAATTCAGAGAGAAAATAAGAGGCAGTGAACGGGATGAGCTCAACCATTGCAAATGTGTTTTTTTGGTTCCGAATGCTTCTCTCCCAAAGGGATTTCTTATTTTGAAAACTGAGGTCAACTGAAGGTAATGTGTCCTGTACTCTGTCCCTTTAAAAAAATCTATACCCTGTGACTGACAGCTGAGACAGAGAAAGAACTTACTAAGAGTATTCATGAGATGATTGCTTCCTTGCGGCCTGCCGGTACCTGTACCGTTAGCAACTGCATTCCTGTTGTGGAACTGCTGAGAAGGGGAAGGGTGTGCTGCTTCATCCTTGCCGCTGCTGGAACTTTCATCCTCACTCCCCGAGGAACTCTCTGAATCCGAGGAGCTGCTGCCGCTACTGCTGCTCATCTGCTCAATAATGTCAACCTCAGCTCTTAACTCTAGAATGAAAGAATGTTTGCAATAGAATCAATAAGTTAACAGAGTTCTGGAGGATGCGTACGTTTGCAAGCCATGGACATCTTCACAATGTTAGAATGGAATAATATCCCTGGGAGGTTTCAAGTTGTCCAGAATATTTCATTAGATATAACGATATAAAGATGTGAAGATGTGGAAGGAAACAAGAAGCCCAAAAATCCAGCCTGGTGGGTTGTTCACTGGGTGCTCCTCTGCTTGCATGCATTTTGACCTTATGAATACCATGCATCTTTTTTTAAAAAAATGCTATTCATAATATTAGTGCAATTTAGTAAATTTAGGTAGTATGCTACACTATGGCCAAGTCAACTAATGCAAGTAACTAGACATTACCACATATTGACTTCTCATGACGGGAAATCTGAAACATATATATGATTTAAAACACTATTACATACACATTTACATTTGGCCCTCCATTTTGGGGGGGGGGGGCTAGGGACACCGAATCTCTGTGAAAATGAAAAAAACATAAATACTTCTAGAGCCCCAAACCATATTTAACACAACAAATGTAATGCCACCTGAGCTGTACACCATTTGAAATGGAGATTTGTAAGACTTACTGCACAGGTCAGTCTGTAGTGCCGCTGGCTGTTGTCCGGTGTGCAGATGAGTTTGATGTGCCTCCTGTTTGGTGGAACATCAAACTCACCTCTACCCCCTCCAACCATTCTCACCTGGCATAGCTTTGCCAGCTAGTAATGTATTTATTGATTGATTAGTTTCATTTATATATTGCTTTTCTCAGTCCCTGGGGGGGACTCAAAGTGGTTGACAACACAGTAAATGGCAAAATTCAATACCGCAAAAATATATAATACATTACATAACTAAAATAGCATATAAGAGTAGATTAAAAACAAGTTAACTAAAAACATCGGACACAGACAAACATCAAACATTCAACATTGCACCAATCTCAAAGTTATCTTGACTACTTTTTCTCACACCCAAAATGCTTGCTTTAAAAGCCACATTTTAAGTAGTTTCTGAAATGTCAGGACAGAGAGGGCCGAGCTAATCTCGCTGGGGAAGGAATTCCACAGTCAAGGGGGCACCACCAAGAAGGCCCTGTCTTTCGTCCCCACCAGTCGTGCCTGCGAGGCTGGCGGGAGCAAGAGTAGGACCTCCTCTGCCGATCTTAATGCTCTAACTGGCTCATAAATGCAGGAAAGCCCCTGATATCCATACCTCTCTTAATATCATCCAGCTGAGGTTCCGGTGAAGGATTGTCTTTCAATGGAGAGGTTTTGGGACCAGCTGCTGGCTTTGTAGGAGCTCTGAACTGGGTGGAAGGTTGTGAAGCTCGGGCAGATTGTTGCTCTATTCGAGCTTGGATTTTACTACTGCCTTCAGCTCTACAACAAAAGATAATGAACACAGAAAATGATACTAGCAACACACTACAATATCTTATAATAATATTTTATATATAATTCTCCCTTTTAAATATACTCTTTCATCCTTTCAAAAATTTCTCTAAAATTAATATTGTATTTTAAAATATTGATGCACAATCCATTTAAATGTAACACTGACTTAATGAGAAAATGAGAGTGAAGTGTTTTGTTACCCCTCACAAGAAAATCTATGATCCTTAAAAATACAAAACCACTGCCTGGTTCATGCTGCCTAGTCTCTAGGATGATACATATTCAAATAGGTAACAACAGCACAAGGCACACCCCTGCCCAGACTGTCACACTTGAGATGATGGATGATGCATTTGTACATCTACATTTCAAGGATTTTCCACGTTTGAAAAGTTAACATGGCAGGAATAAGGTCAGCATTCTCTTCAATATGTTAATATGTCACAGTAATAATTTTGTTTGCTCATCTGTTTAAAACAGGCTAATGTCTAAACATACAAGGCAAGCTGTATTCAACTTCCTCCACTGAAAAACCGATTCAGTTCAATGAAGAGGGATACAGTTTTCAGCTGGATGGGGTTGAGAGATCAGTGTAAACTGCACATCTTCCTGTTACCCTTCTGGATACTTTCCATAATTCAAAGAAGGGTGTATCTACACTGTAGAATTACTGCAGTGTGACACCACTTTAACTACCATGGCTCAATGTTATGGAATCATGGGAGTCGTCGTTTTACACAGTCTCTAATCTTCTCTGCCAAAAGGTGCTGGTGCTTTACAAAACTACAACTCCCAGGATTCCATAGTATTTACAATACTGTCAAACTGCATTCACCCTAGAGTCTGGATGCACTCAGTTACATGGATCTTGCTTACAGTCTGATCCCTGCATTTAGAAGTAGAAATGATATATTTTGCTCTGTTTCTCCAAGTATCAGTTAGGCTTTTAAGCTTGTGCCAGTCATTGTTACCTTGTCTTCTTGACTTGAATGCTGCTGCTTAGTTTTTCAAGCACATATTCCCCAGTATCATGATTGATAATAAGTACACAGTCCTTTTGGTATGGCCTTTTATTTCCCTTGAACAGAGTCATTGGAGGAGTGGAACCCTGACATGTGAGAAAAACACATATTACATTGACATCTAAAAAAACATGTATATTCACATGAAACTACTTTACTAAAAATGCTGAAGCTACTTTCTCATCTCCAAGGTAACAATTTATGTTACCTTCCCTGTTTATGGATTGCATTTAGAGCAGACACAATGAAATAAGTAAGACTTAATTTAGTTACAATTAACTGAAATCCCACCAATTTCAAAGAGCCTATGCATGACTAATCCACAACTCAACCCAATATTTTCAGTTCTAATAGTCATTAAACAGAATTTCAAAAATGTATTGATGTAATATCTGCTGATTTGATCTCCTATACTTTAATGTTACTAACACAGAGGGGTCCATGAAAGGGGAAGCAATTCAAATAGTTAAGCATAAACTTAAAACCAAAAGATGTTTTATTTTAATTTTCATAACACTTTTTTGATAGCTCAGTAATGACACTGTGGAGGTGGTTATGGTGTGCCTTCAAGTCATCTAATTTATAGTGACCCTATCCCAGATTTTTCCTGGCAAGATTTGTTCAAAGGCGGTTTTCCATTGCCATTCTTTTAAGGGTGAGAAAGTGTGTCTCACCAAAGCTCATGCAAGAGGAACTGTATCAAATACAACATCCAAGTAAAAACAAATCTAAGCCATTTTATCTGCATGGTGCTATTCTGAGATGAATCTGTCCAGAGCCATCAGCCTCCTGCAGTGGATCTTCCTAGTGTATTGGTTCTCAACCTGGGCTCCCCAGATATTTTTAGCCTTCAACTCCCAGAAATCCTAACAGCTGGTAAACTGGCTGGGATTTCTGGGAGTTGTAGGCCAAAAACACCTGGGGACCCTAGATTGAGAACCACTGTCCTAGTGGGTCCCTAATTTCTTCAGAAGGTCCAAGTCTCAGCAAGTTCAAAGCTGACCAGGTAATAATCTGTTTATGACAATGGAAGGGCAGAAAATTATTCTGCATTAAGATCATCATCATTCTATGCAGCACAGAAAACCAGGTCCAGAGTTTGCCCCGTGGCATGAGTAGGGCCAAGTGTCACGTGGGATGGAACCATAATTGTCATGGAAGCTATGAAGTCTTGATCCATTCTTGACAGGGCAGTGTCAGCATTCAACACTTGAATTTAATTGCAATTACATTCAACTGTGATTGCAATTAAACATTACACACACACACACTCAGGATAAACCAGTGTGTAGTGCTTACAGAATTGGACTCTAGGAGACGTAGGTTCAAATCCCTGCTCAGCCATGAAAACCCTCTGGATGTCCTGGGGCAAAACACGTTACCTCAACTGAAGAGGAAAGGAAAGGCAAATGACCCTGAGCAAAATCTTGTCAAGACCATATGAACATTTTATTTTAGGATTACCATAAATTAGAAATGACATGAAGGCACACAACAACAAAAACAACATGGATGGCTAAAGCCCACAATGCATTACCAGGTTGGAAGGGAGGTCATCAAGTCCAGTTTGCTCAATGTAGGATTCTGCTTCATATCTGTTAATGTGCATTAATGAGAGAAGTATACCCCCCCCCCCCCCCCCGCTGCTCTACCCTGTATCAGATAGTGTGATCAGTGTGTTGAATGTTCTGTTCTAGGGCAAGACACACTCTCTCAGCCTAAAAGCAAAACACAGGCAAATTCTTATCAGAAACTTGCTTTTAAAAGCATCTGACAAGTTTGTCTTATGGTCATCATAAATCAGAAAAATGATCTGAAAGCTCCTGTATACACAGCCCATGTGTTCATTTGTATTCTGTACCTGTTTGCTTCCAACAAGAATAAAATTCAATTTGCATATTCTTTTTATGTTTAAACATGCTAATGTTATTTTGTATAGTGTTACTGATGATTGCAAAACGCATTGGGAATAAAATATATCCTGAATGATATTTCATAATTTATTAAATAATAAAAATAATAAAATATATATTCTGAGTAAATGTTTCCAAAAGTGAATTTTAGGCACATATTTACAATTTTCCAAGTATTAAAATAAAAGAAACAGTCCACAACTGCAGTGTATGAAAACTCTCCTTACAATTTCAATTCTACATACAATTGAAATTGTAAAGATAATTTTGGATACCCTGTATAATTCATATCAATTAACGAAGTAGCCAGGAAGAAAACCCACAAACCTTAATGTACATATTATACCAAGAAATTACATACGCTGTGTTGTTGACCCTACAGAACAAGATGCCTAAAACAGGTAAATCTGGTTAGCTCCAATTTAATGAGTCTTACTGGTTACAAAGTGTTCTCAGTGCTTATAAAATATACAATGCTGTTCTTGGTTATGAATTAAAAGTTCTAAACACATGACTTCTTTGGAAAGTCTCCATTTTAACCTACAGTAGTAAACTTACTGGGATATGTGGCAATGTAATTGTGACTTCATCTCCTTTACCAACTTGCAGCTCCCCCTCAGAAGATGTGTCTATTGATGCTGGTTTAAAGTCATCTAGAAGGAACAAGAACTGGTTTTAATCATACCTTAGTTCCACTTTTAGTAACTCCTCCTCAGCAGAACTTTCAGGTCAGGAGTTACTGGACTTAAAAATAATATTTAACAGCAAAATCTTTTTGATAGTTGTCTTTTCTTTTCATCCAGTCAATAGCCTCGATTCATAGAGTCCTCTACTACTGTTCTTGTATTTGAAGTATATGTCAAAAACTTACTCCAAAAAAACCCTAGGTTACCTTATCCACTGATTAATCTAAGTACTATACCTTAACTCTTATAAAAGAAAAGGAACCATTCCCTTCTCTGAGTAGAGCAACAAAAGGTGGAAACATAGTCCATTCCAGGAAGAACCTAAAAGAAGCAGTACTGGGTTGTTGTAGGTTTTTTGGGCTATGTGGCCATGTTCTAGAAGCATTCTCTCCTGATGTTTCACCTGCATCTATGGCGAGCATCCTCAGAGGATCCTGTCTCCTCACTTTGGTCAAGCAGCTGTTGCTTGAAGGCCAAGAAACTAAACAGCCATCTGCTCTATGTCCAAAATCCAGCTATCTTGGTCCACAACTATAGCAATTGACAGTCTGAATTATTTTATGGAGCAGGGTGCCTTACTCAGCACTGTCAGTGGCAAGGAAAAACAACACCAGAAGGACAAGTCTGACAACAGAGGACAACTTACCCATCCTTATTTCACACCACAGTGCTATGATTCTACAATTTGTCCACCATATTCCCATCCTATGACCCCCAGGGGCTTCTACATTGGGGAGAGCTGTCTAGTTGTACCTTCTTGTACCATCAGGCTTTTTTTAACTTTATACATTGATAATAATAATAAGAATAATACTTTATTTTTATTCTGCCCAATCTCCCCAAGAGGACTCAGGGCAGATTCCAGCATACAGTAACAATGGCAAACATTCAATGCCTACAAAAAACACATGATACTAACATAAAATCCCAGAAAACCCCCACATATTAAAGTAACAGTAAAACCTAACATCAAATTAAGACCTACAATCAGTAAATTAAACCTGACATCAATAAATTAAACTATACGTAATCAGACAAAATTCTGTAATAACATAAATCTAAACAAAATATCCACATTAGTTGTAGATGACTAGTTGTCCTCTAATTTTATCTTATTTTATTGGAGTGTATTGTACAATTCTTTAGTGTTTCAAAATATATTTTAAGCTGTCTTGACAACCATTAAAAGCAGGCTATACATGAATAAAATAATCACCACTATTATCATCATCTGAAAACCTCAGAATTCCATAGGGTGGAACAATGGAAGTCAAAATGGAACTTAGCACTATAATTTTGCAGTGTGAAAGGACTCCTTCTCTCTTAGTTTTTAACAACTCTAGGCAGGTTGCTGACCTAAATAAATGATGCAGCCTGGCATGTTTTTCCTGCTTTTAACAGCAGATTGTTCCAGAGAAATCAAATGGAATTTCTAACGTTATTGAATAAGCATTAATATGATTTGATGTCTGCAGTACACTGTAATCACCACAGGAATTGGCAAACCTGGCTGTTTATTCTACTTTACATACAGTCCTTTGTCTGGAAAAATGAACAGCAACCTACTGGATGCTAATCCAATGCGATAAAGGGAGAAAGATAAGTGATCACACTTTGAGATGGAGAAGGACAATCTTCCAAACGATAATGTGTTTCACAGAAACATGTTCAAGTCCAGGATGCCAACTTCCTAGTTGACTGGGTTGTTGTAGGTTTTTTCGGGCTATATGTCCATGTTCTAGAGGCATTCTCTCCTGACGTTTCGCCTGCATCTATGGCAAGCATCTTCAGAGGTAGTGAGGTCTGTTGGAACTAGGGAAATGGGTTTATATATCCTAGTTGATTCCTCTCACTACTGTTTTAACACCAATTTAATCTGCAACAAGGAGCATATGGGCCTTGATTTCGCTGCTGCAAGCAATTACAGCCACTCTTTTGTAAACTGCTGACTTTTCCATCTTGGCACTGGCAATCGGGCTTGTAATCGGAATGAGAGGACTGACAACTTTCTAGTAGTCCAGCTCCTGAGTTTTGAACAGCAGCCCAATCACCTTTCCCAACAATTATTCCCAGCTTTCCCAAGTAATTATTCTCACAACAGGAAAGGCAGCACCACCTAAATATTTGGTTATGAAGCTGTTGATGGTACAGTAATAGTAGGGTTAGTAAAAGAGAAGGCAAACTCCTCAGGAAATCAAAAAGAACAAAAGTGGTTTTCATTCCTCCATTTTTCAGAGACCTGAAACTACAGTATGCATGTAGCAGCACCTTTAAGACTAAGGGCCCTTCCACACAGCCATATAACCCAGAATATCAAGGCAGAAAATCCCACAATATCTGCTTTGAACTGGGTCCATCTGAGTCCACACTGCCATATAACCCGGTTCAGAGCAGATAATGTGGGATTTTATTTAGCTGTGTGGAAGGGGCCGAACTGGTTTTTATTCTTGCATGAGCTCTCATGGTTATCAACTCTCTGCTTCAGTTGCAGTACAAAGTGAGTTGTGAAGAAGTGGGTTCATATCTGTTTGATCATAATGGGGTTCTTTTTGCTGGAAACTCCTTATGGGCTTTCTTGAAAACAATAACCAGAAGAAAAAAAAAACAGACCTAGTAACCTTTTGAAGATTAGAAGGAATTACTTGTAGAAAAAAAAGAGAAACTGTCTTAATGTTAGAAAGTGAGATATGAATAATTATGTCATGTTTTTCTTCCTTTTACTTCTTTGTATTTCCTTTTAAAACTTTTTTCTATATATGGCCATCTGTCAGGGGTGCTTTGAATGCAATATTCCTGCTTTTAGGCAGGGGGCTGGACTGGATGGCCCATGAGGTCTCTTCCAACTCTATGATTCTATCTTTTTTCTATATATCTTTACTTAAAGGTTAACATCTTTAACGAAAAAAAGAAGTGGGTTGCTGTCCATGAAAGCTCATGCTAAAATAAAAGGCTGTTACCAGCCAGCCCTCTGCACAACTGCATCCATAGGTCTAACTACTCATGGCTTGAAATTGTTTGATAGAAAAAATCCAAAGTCAAAGGTGCTGCTACATTCCCCCTGTCCTCCATTTTATGATGGAAGAGACTATGCCCCCTTCTACACTGCCATATAATCCAGATTATCAAAGCAGATAATCCACATCTAACTGGATTAGATGAGCCTACACTGCCATCTAATCAAGTTCAAAGCAGATAATCTGGCTTTTACATGGCAATGTTGGACTATATCCCTGGATCTGATCCCAGGTTTTCTGTTTATTACAGATTAATAATAATAATGATATATATATATTTTTTAAATTATTTATACCCCGCCACCATTCCCCCAAGGGGACTCGGGGCGGCTTACATGAGGCCAAGCCCAACAATGCAATACATCAATATGCAACAAAACACAGCAATAAAATATAAAAAATACAAATACAATACAAAACCATTATAAATAGTACATCAACAATATAAAATTGCAACATTTAAGACGAGGAAATCAATTTCAATGGGGGGCAGGGCCAGATTCAATAGATTAAAAATTAAAACACTGGGTGAGACAACAGTTTAATTAATCTGGACAGGGGATCCAGGGGATAAGTAGGATTTGATTGTACTAACAGGTAAAATAAAGTGAAGAGCCTATACTGCCTGTCTGGAAAGGTCCCCTGAAGGGGCCTATCAGTTTCTTATTTCATTTATTTACTGTACTTGCATCCTGCCTTTCTCCCAGTATAGGAACTCAAGGCAGACTCTTTACAAGCCAGGTAGTGTCCCCAATGTCTCTATATACATAGAGGGAGAAATTGAGAAAATTGTATTATATCACAGCCATATAACCCAGAAAATCAAGGCAGATAATCTAAAATATCTGCTTTGAACTGAGTTATCTGAGGGCCCTTCTAGACAGGCCCTATATCCCAAGATCTGATCCCAGGTTTTCTGTTAACAACAACAACAACAATAATAAACTTTATTTCTATCTCACCACCATCACCCCAAAGGGGACTCAAAGCGGATTATATGAGGCCAAGCTCAGCAAAACACTACAACAACATAAAATATAAACAACAAAATAACATCACAGTAAAAATAAAATAAAATCAAATAAAATAAATAATACAATATAACATAATAGAAAATCCAACACAATGGGTGGGCCAAATGTATGGCATAAAATGATAAACCTCTGGATGAGATAGCAATGAAAAGTGCAATTTGTAGAGAATTATCCCAGATTATCGGGCAGTGAGTATTCATATAATCAAGTTTAAAACAGAAACCCTGGGATCAGATCCTGGGATACAGGGCCTGTCTGGAAGGGCCCTGAGTCCACACTGCCATATAATCCAGTTCAATGTGGATTATATACAGCTGTGTGGAAGGGGCCTTAGATCAGACCTGGGCAAACTTTGGCCTTCCAGATGTTTGGGACTTCAACTCCCTGGAGGGCCTAACAACTGTTAGGAATTGTGGGAGTTGAAGTCCCAAACACCTGGAGGGCCAAAGTTTTCCCAGACCTGCCTTAGATTATATATTGTACTAGCGGTCCCCTGCCACGCGTTGCTGTGGCCCTGTCTGGTGATCTGGAAAATAAAGTAATGAGACAATGTTGGTTTCTAATATATGTAATGTCTTTATGCTTGTGGGTTAAAAGTATTTCTTGTTGTTTCTTTGTCAGTGTTGATGTGGAGATTGTCTGGTTTGCCTACTCTGGAACATGCAACATATCATTGTCCTTCTTTAGGGGTCCCTTTCAAATCTTTGATACTGCATCTGTCATATACATATATGTGTGTGTGAATGGCTGGATGGCCCTTTGTCAGGAGGGCTTTGATTATGTTTTCTTGCCCTGGTGAAGGGAGTTGGACTGGATGGCCTTAAGGCAGCATTTATCAACCTGGAATCACCCTGGGGGGTGTCAAGGGGGTGTCAGAAGGTGCCACATATAAGAAATGACATCCAGTGGGTTGTTGTAGTTTTTTTCGGAATATATGGCCATGTTCTAAAGGCATTTTCTCCTGACGTTTCGCCTGCATCTATGGCAAGCATCCTCAGAGGTAGTGAGGTCTGTTGGAACTAGGAAAAAGGGTTTATATATATAGTATTTTCTGTTGGTCATGGGGGTTCTGTGTGGGAAGTTTACCCTAGTTCTGTTGTTGATGGGGTTCAGAATGCTCGATTGTAGGTGAACTATAAATCCCAGTAACTACAACTCCCAAATGTGTTCATATTTGGAGATATAGAATATTTGTGCCAAGTTTGGTCCAGATCCATCATTGTTTGAGTCCACAGTGGTCTCTGAATGTAGGTGAACTACAACTCCCAAACTCAAGGTCAATGCCCAACAAACCCTTCTAGTGCTTTCTGTTGGTCATGAGAGTCCTGTATGCCACGTTTGGTTCAATTCCATCATTGGTGGAGTTCAGAATGCTCTTTGATTGTAGGTGAACTATAAATCCCAAGAACTAAAACTCCCAGATGACAAAATCAAAAAAAAAATTGAGTGAAGGACATACATTGGGTTGTTAGGTGTATGCTGTCCAAATTTGGTGTCAATTCGCCCACTGGTTTTTGAGTTCTGTTAATCCCACAAACGAACATTACTTTTTTATTTATATTAGATTAGGTATTAGATATGACAGAGAAGGCTTCGAGGAAGGGTAGAGAAGAGTTGGTAGTGAGTACCTTGTAAACAAAAGTTACATTTCCTCTATTGATTGTGACTTTGGGGAACACTCTATACATCCCCCCCCTCCAAAGCAAACCCTCAAATGGAGATGCCACCAAACCAAAGGGGCTTGAAGTCCCAAACACTGAGCCACTCCAACGCCTGTGTCCCAAATCAAAGGCCGAAGGAAACAGGCCTGTGCGCATCGGGGCCTAGTAAACCCGGGTCCCACTCACAGCGGATGGTGTGGAAGGAGGCCTTGGGGTGCCGCTCGAAGCTCTCTCCCAGCTGCAGCGGGTGCTCCTCCTTGTCCAGCAGCGGGTTCGCCGAGCCGTTCATGGCCTCCGCAGGCCGCAACGACGATGCCGGTCGCCGTTTGCCTCCTTCCCTCTCTTCCTCCCTCCCTCCCTTCCCTTCACTTTCTCTTCCGGCCTTGGTGTCACCGCGAAAGGGTTCCCCGCTTGGCAAGGAGGCAGGAAGGCGAGCAGGCTGCTTAGGCCTCGCAGAAAGAGAGAGAAAGAAGATCCCACAGAAGAAGAGGGAGGATGAGCCTGGATGAGTCAAGGGCGCCTCTGAGCATGGACAGAGCGCCTCGGGAGAGCGGTGCGTGTTGGTAGGGGCAGCTTTGTAGCTCTTGAGGCCTTTTAGGAAGGCAAAAGAAGAGACACCGCTGTAGAATTACAGGCAGTTTCCAAGCTACCAACAAGATGGGATTTGTAGGTTTGCTCTTAAGTTGAATTTGTTTTTAAGACGCCTCCTACACATTAATATATCCCAGAATATCAAGGCAGAAAATCACACATTATCTGAGTGTGGACTCAGGGCCCTTCCAAACAGCCCTATAACCCAGAATATCAAGGCAGAAAATCCCACAATATCCCCTTTGAATAAGGGCCCCTTCCACACAGTTAAATAAAATCCCACATTATCTGCTTTGAACTGGACTATGTTTGTTAGTTTCTTAGGTGATCCCTTGTTGTCCTAGTAGGATTGTCTTCCAAGTTCGGTGTACTAGCGGTGGGTCCATAGGTGACCGTGGAGTCCTATTCCTGACCTGCATCTTCTCCAGCAGTCAGGGCATCAGTTTCCAGTTGGAAGGCGGTCCTGGTCAGGGTTGGCTTGATGCGCCTTTCTCTTGGCACGTTTCTCTCTTTTGCCCTCCATTCGTGCCTCTTCAAATTCTACAGCACTGCTGGTCACAGCTGACCTCCAGCTGGAGCGCTCAAGGGCCAGGGCTTCCCAGTTCTCAGTGTCTATGCCAGAGTTTTTAAGGTTGGCTTTGAGCCCATCTTTAAATCTCTTTTCCTGCCCACCAACATTTTGTTTTCCGTTCTTGAGTTCGGAGTAGAGCAACTACTTTGGGAGACGGTGGTCGGGCATCTGGACAACATCGGCGGTCCAGCGGAGTTGATGGCTGAGGACCATCGCTTCAGTACTGGTGGTCTTTGCTTCTTCCAGCACACTGACATTTGTCTGCTTGTCTTCCCAAGAGATTTGCAGGATTTTCCGGAGGCAGCGCTGATGGAGTTGCATGTGACGTCTGTAGACAGTCCATGTCTCGCAGGCATATTGCAGTGTTGGGAGGAAAATATCTTTATAAACAAGCACCTTGGTATCCCTACGGATGTCCTGGTCCTCAAACACTCTGTGTTTCATTTGGAAAAAAGCTGCACTTGCAGAACTCAGGCGATGTTGTATTTCAGTGTCAATGTTGACTTTGGTGGAGAGGTAGCTGCCAAGGTTACACCATTAAGCTGTATTTCTGGCATTGGAGATGGGTTGACTGTCGACTGCTGGAAGAGCACTTTGTTTTTCTCAATGTTCAATGACAGGCCGAGCTTCTCCTATGCTTCTGCAAAGGACTATATGACAGTGTGGACTCAGATAACCCAGCTCAAAGCAGATATTGGACCTTTCCTATATCCCAGAATATCAAGGCAGAAAGTCCCTCAATATCTGCTTTGGACTGGGGAATCTGAATCCACACTACCATATATTCCAGTTCAAAGCAGATAATGTGGGATTTTATTCAGCTGTGTGGAAGTGGCCTGAATCTACACTCAGATAATGTGGGTTTTTCTGCCTTGATATTCTGGGATATAGGGCTGTGTGGAAGGGCCCTGAGTCAGAACAGGTACTTTTTAAAGTCTAACTCAGGTATGGGCAAACTTCGGCCCTCCGGGTGTTTTGGACTTCAACTCCCACAATTCCTAACATGTTAGGAATTGTGGGAGTTGAAGTTCAAAACACCTGGAAGGCCGAAGTATGCTTATGCCTGGTCTAACTCTAGCCACACACACACACACAAATATATGGCTGGAGTAACACTTGATAAAAGGTACAAATCCAACTTAAGAACAAACCTACAGAACCTATCTTGTTTGCAACTTGGGGACTGCCTGCATATATATATTTCATATATAAAAGCTTTGGATTGCATAGGGAAGGGTTGACACCCCAGTGGGGTTTGTTTTGCACCCTGTGTCTCTGAGCCCTTCCACGCATATGGTCCAGAATATCAAGGCAGAAAATCCCACAATATCTGCTTTGAACTGGGTTATCTGAGTCCACACTGCTATATATTCCACTTCACAGAAAATGTGGGGTTTTATTCAGCTGTGTAGACGGGGCCTCTGTTCAGAAGATTTCGCCTCACTTTCTGTCCCTCTGGAAAATGTGGCTTGTTGTGAAAACAAGGATTGATGAGAAAGCTTCATTTGAGCTTCAAAACAATTTTGGAAAAATTCAGGGTTTTGCTTCGTGACCCATGATTTTAAAGCTTTTTAAACGTCATTCAGTGTCAGACTACGCAGAGAAGCCAGAGCTCCTCTGAAAGACAACCTACATTGTTTCAGATTCAATGACTTGAATGATGTTAAAACAGCTTTAAAATCATGGGTCATGAAGCAAAACCCTGAATTTTTCCAAAATGGTTTTGATGCCTGGGTTAAATGATGCCACAAATATGTGCAAATTGATGGTGACTATGTTGAACTGTAGTTTTGAGTAGAGGATAGTTCAGGCTATGATCAGTTGCAACTTCTGCTGTTATATGTTCATTTATAACTTTTTATGACACAGGAGACATTTTGACCCACCAGCGTGTATGTGTACATACATACGCACACACATATATAAATAATCCAGAGTTATACTTTAAAATTTACCTGTCGCAACATGTATGTACATTCAACTTCAGAAAAAAAATGACTGAACCCATCTTGTTCATAACTTGGGGACTGCCTGTATAGCAGCTTTCCTAAATTTATTTTTCTCCCCACGAATTGCGCAGTTTTGTGGTTGAGATCTGACATATTTAGAGGACAACAGGTTAGGGAAGGTTACTGTATCCCAATCTATTGTGGGAGGCTTACATCTGCTGTTGACATTGTTTCTTCTTTTGCTTTTTTCTTCTGCATAAAAATGTATTTATATTTATAAAAAGTGATATTATAGGGAAATGAATCACCATGAAGATCCTGTTATCATTTTGCTGTGTTCTCAAGTGGAAGATATAAAATGGTAACCTTTCCCTTCTTGTCGTCTTGAATCTAGTTCTTTCCTAGAAGTATGCGATTAAGGAATGCAGTGACTACAAATCTGCGCTTCCTCCTTTAATCGAAATGAACGAATTGAGGCTTCTCCAGAGTGAGTCATCTGCAGCTGAACTTGATGGGGTAATATCAGATCTCGAAAATGGAGGTTTCCATAGAAGAGGACATAAGATGAGAACGCTTAGCCCCGAAGAAGCTGAAAGGCTGGCCAAAGATCCAGTCGTAGTATCTGATTTCAAGCAACAGAAGCTTGAGAAAGAAGCACAAAGGAATTGGGACTTGTTTTACAAAAGGAACAGCACAAATTTTTTCAAGGATAGACACTGGACAACAAGAGAGTTTGAAGAACTGAAAGCCTGCCGTGAAGTGAGTTTCATCTTCCAGAGATGGCTTTGCTGCCCAATTTGGAAGTAACTTGTGCCAAATAACTACATTACCTATAGAGCATGGTGTTGGCAGTGTCTTTACTTGGAAAAGTAACCTTAAAAGTAACTGTAACAGTGTTGCTTTTTGGAATAACCTGTGTTATTTTGTTCCAAAACACTGATTTCAGGAGATTTATGGTCATTTTTTTATTTTTATTAGTATTACAAAGTACATTTTTAAAAGTAAATAAAATGTAACTAACCAGTAATGAATCACAATTAGGCACAAGTTATTTAAAAACACACACACACAAACAGAAACAGAAAATCCAACAGCACTAGCAAATTACTTTTCAAAAGTAGCATTCCAAGTTCTGGATCGTCTTTCCTGGAGGGTCCAAACGCATCATCTTCTATATGTAACTACCCTATGATTTTTGGTTGCTTCTGCTACCTTTTTGTCTTATTAGAAAAAGATCTATTATGGAGGAAAAACAAGTGGAAATGTTGCAAAATCTCCTTTTTCAGCACTAGAAACTTCCAAGTATTTTTAGACCACAGTTTCCAGGGTTAAGGAATGCTGGGAGTTATAGTCCAACAACAGACTGAGTGATCCATAATTCCCATGGAAGCATCTCAAGTTAGAGCTACTATAGAAGTGTTTTGTTTTGCTGGAAGACTGTAGGCAGTTGTAGTTTTATCCTGAGATGTACAATTTTATGTGAATGTCATGGGCTTCAGGCAAAAGAGATGTGCTTCATTTATCCCATGATGCAGCAGTTGTAGTTTCTGTGATGAGATGCGGTGTACCAACCCTTCACATATATATTTTAGGTCTGTCAGTCAATAGCTTCTTATTCAGAAGTCCTGCTTTCATAAAGGAGCTGTCACGTCTGATCAAAGCTGCATGTTGTAAAGCTTGATTTAGCATTTTGGAAGAGCACAGTAGTCCAGGAGTTTGAGCAGTCTCTCTTCCTTTTTCCCAACCTAACCACTTTGATATATGTTCGACTACACCTCCCGTCATCCCCAAGCAGCAGTCAAGGCACAAATTGTTCTAGTACTCTAACTACATCTTAAAGGCACAAGATTGCCAATGGGTCATATATTTTGTTGCAGCAATGTTGTACAACATACCTTGGTTCAAAGTTAGATAAGTTTGTGATACCATATCTTTACATTATCTGTATAAAAGTGTGTTGGAACTAGTGTAGTTCCAAAGCTGTTGTAGAATAAATCAGTTTTAGAAATTATTTTTCTATTAGGAGGACAACAGTCATGCTTCAGGTGCTTCCAGTATAAATTAATAAATATTTTTTGGAAGTGTCTAATGTTAAAAATCAAGGGAAGCGAATTTGATAAGGCCTTGGGAATGGACAAGAGTCCATTCCCTTTTAAAGAGTCCATTCCCAAAACTCACTGATGCTTTCTGAGTAAAAAATGGTATATAGAGATACAAATAAATTATTTCAGTTGAATTTGGCAAAATTTGGCTTAAAATGTGTCCTCAACAGATTACATCACATTCTTTTTTTCATAGCAGTGAACCTAGACTCAGTCAAGAGGTAGATTTGAAAATATTCTCTTGAATTAATCTAGTTCCTTCTCATGTTGGGTGTGTAAAAAGATTCATTGCATTGTAAGGCTGTAATATTTTAGAGCTATTTGAAAGATTATAGTGCAATTAATTGGTAACTGTGTCAGCATTCTTGAATAACAGAGCAGAAGGATCTGAGATTGGATTTGCAGGTAGGACGGAATATAAATAAAGTTTTATTATATATCTTAGCCATCCTTTTAAAAGAAAAAAAAACATTCCATACTACACATATTAACGCTCTGCAACATACAACTCTGACTTGAATTATGGTATTTGCCTGGTCTTTTAATTTTTATTAAAATATTCTTAGTATTGTTGATATGTCTCCCACCCTAACTTCCTTTTTTGTCTCCATTGCATTCAGCAACTGAGTGCATCATATAACACAAAATCATGGTGGTGTTTATTTCTGGCCTTAACTGTAGAATAGTGCTGAAATATTAGTCACTTTGGACTTAGAACCTGAAAAAAGTATTAATATTTAATAATAGAAGGATTTCTATTGCTTTGCTAAGATGTAACAGATGTAATTATTTGTCTACCATACAGTTTGACGATCAGAAACTGACAATTCTCGAAGCAGGCTGTGGTGTTGGGAACTGTTTGTTTCCACTTTTAGAAGAGGATTTCAATATCTTTGCTTATGCCTGTGATTTCTCTCCACGAGCCGTGGAATATGTAAAGGTTAGTAAAATAATTCATTTTCCTGCAGCACAGATAGGGCTAAAGTGTGGACAGGTAAACGCAGATACATTAGGATTGGCAATAGAAGAATCCCACTGTTTTGCATTGATTACTGCAGACACACTACTGCAACCTGATGCTTTTTGGCCAGCCTTCCTCCATCATCATCTTAATGCTGATCCTACTAAAAAAAATAGAATCACAGATTGATAGAATCATAGAGCAGGATCATGGAATAAATGGAATAGAAAGCTGAATCCAGCCTCGTCATAGTAACATGACCCTTTTTCTGGATTTGGAACTCAACAAATCAAAAGGATTGAAAAATGAAAACTCGAGTGCTTAGTTCAAAATGTCCCTCAACTAAGGAAACTTTTTCACTTCACAGCAAAACCCTCTGTACGATCCCCAGAGATGCAAAGTGTTCCACTGTGACCTTACCAAAGATGACCTTCTGGAAAATGTACCACCAGATTCTGTAGATGTTGCGACGTTGATATTTGTACTTTCTGCCATTCATCCAGAGAAGATGCATTTAGTTTTGCGCAATATTTATAAGGTAACTCTTAAATAATAATCAAAATATTGTCCTCAAGAATAATGAACATGTTTATGACTAGCAGTCAAAAGCACTTTGTAAAACAACTTTTAATCCTCAAAATAAAAAGTTTAAATCTCTTGTAAAAATTTAAATATTTGAAATGACCGAGTTTCTATGACCCAAAATGTTTGATATATTTTTGTTTGATACTTGCTTCAGTTCCGTAAGATCCAGATTACTTACCTATTACATTTTACCTGTCAGGTATTAAAACCAGGCAAATGTGTGCTGTTCAGAGATTATGGTCTCAATGATCATGCAATGCTGAGGTTTAAGTCTGCTAACAAGCTTGGTGAAAACTTCTATGTAAGACAAGATGGAACCAGATCATATTTCTTCTCAGATGGTGAGTTCACAGACTCTCACCTTTTTTACCATTTGTTTCTTTGCTACGATTTGTTTGTGTGTTTTGCTTTTTTGTTTTATTAAGAGTAAATCAGTGGATTCAGTAGACATTTGTTTAATATTTGGTGAGGTGTATCCATCACTCCCTGGATCCATATCTAATATCCTCAAAGGGCTCCATGGATGTCCTCATCTTACTTTGGAAAGATCTTTCCTGTTTACCTTCAATTTTTAAACTTCAAAAATCTTAGCTGCAGTGCCTTAGCTCTCCTCTCTCTTTTCACCTTATTTTCATCTTCAGCAGTTTCCAATTTTCTAGCACTTAAATTCCTGTTGAATTGTGGTAGGCCCTCATTTTTGGTTCTAGGAAACACTGTCTGGAATGTTGACTTTTAAGTGATTACTACAACTTTTTGACAATATTGAAATGTTCCCAAATTTTGAAATATTTTTTACCATATTTCAGTACATTTTGATCATTTTCCTTTTGGGATTAGAACCCCTTCCTTTTGAATTTTTTGTGTAAACTTGTCATTTAAACTTGGATACCAAAAATACTTCCAGATTTTGAGTTGTTTGCCACAATTTAGTGATGAATTACGGCAGCCTCCCTTTCCTTGTGTCTTATGAAGTCTCCCATTTGGAATGTTGATCTTGTTTAAACCTGAAAATAAGGCATTACGACTTAGATGAGTTTTTTTTATCATATTTATAGATGTCCACATAGGTTTCCTGATAAGTTACAGTTAGTTCCATTTTTGTTTTTATCCACCATTTTGCACAAGCGACTTGAATCTGAGCATGTCAACTTGGCTGTCAACCAGAGTTTCAAAATTCGGAGGCATCTAGTAGTGTGTTCTGATGAATTATGGCTACCACAGATATGAAGGCATTTTTATTGTTATTATAGATTTTATTCTGCATGGTGTTTTAGTGTGTTTGAACCCAAACCTACCCTTACGTGACCATTTCGAGAAGTAGGTGCGTATTTCATGAAAGGGTAACTGAATGTCTAGGGCTGGCAATGAAAGTGTTTCAGAACACAAGAAAAAACTTCATAAATCAGATCAAGGGTCAGTCGAATCAAATTCGGAAATAATAATAATAATAATTGTCATTATCATCAAACTTTATTTATATTTGTCCTATCTCCCTGAAGGGACTCAGGGCGAATTCCAATCACAAAAAAGGCAAACATTCAATGCCTGGACATAACAACTCATGGGCACATAATAACAAAAAATTAACTCCACAGCATATAAAAACAAATTATAACTTAGCAAATTAGAATAAAATCTAAACCACCTGTTATATCAAACATAAAACAAACATAAAACACATAGAAACCTGCTTAGTAGTGTGTGTGTGTGTGTGTGTGTGTGTGTGTGTGTGTGTGTGTGTAAATACAGAATTCCAGAGATCTAGTACAGGGTGAAATACTTACTGTAAAATTGGTACTTGTATACCAAATGCCTTAAGTTGAAGGTTATGGAAATCTTCCTACAATTTGGAAAGGCCGCTTACCAAATTTGGATCCCTGGTTCACTCATGTAAACTTCAGCTTGTTAAGAAGTAGGGAATTAAAGTATTATCTACAAAATGTGTAAATTGCTCAGCAAAAAAAGGTACCATCTGATAGTTAAGAACTGTCCATGGACTTTGTCACTAGTTTGGTGCTAGAGGCAGCCCCACTTACATACTCCGGAGGGCAGAGAAGCATGTGACCTAGTTTTGTGCACAAAGGGGTCCCTTGATAGGTTTTGCCCTCGATTCTTCTTTGTTTTTGTTCAGGAGCAGTCACAAAAAAGCTCTCCTTGCTGTATCTTCATAGATGTGTTCCTCTTTTCTTTCCAAGGCGTAAACACATTCTATTTTGTTATTCCCCCACTTCGTTCCTCTGTGTGTGTGCGCGTCAAATGACCATGTCCACAGAGTACCTAATTTTACTACATATTCCAGTTGAGCATTGACTTACACTGGTATTATTTTATACCAAAAAAGCTTGTTCTCGTCTTTTCACATTTTGAATTACTATTTTGCTTTTGATTACTTGCTGCAAAACTATTTGCAAAAGGAATAAGATAAAAGATTAGGCTGCTTAGGTGGGACCAATTTGCTCAAATGAGCAAATACTACTGCAGCATCGTAGGCAGGAACAAGTCTGGCCTTTGGGGGTTGGATCCTCCCACTCAGAAGCTGGAGGGTTCCTTCCCCTCCCCCCCATAAATTCCTGCCTATAAGAGCAAGAGGGAGGAGCAACCCAAACATATAGGATGTTAACCCCTATCTACTGGAAAATAACTTATCACAGGTAAGACCTGTGGTGTAATGTAAAATAAACCATGTAGTTCATGTTTGGTCAGCCCACACACTGCCTCGCCAGAGGGGGGGAAATGCCATGCAGGTGATCAATAAAGAATAAGTAGTTTACTCCTCGTAATTCAGAACATCATATTTACAATTATGTGCGCAGTTACATCGACTCACATAATGTTCTTTTATGAGAGATTTAAAATGGTCTTTCTTTGTCCATGTGGAGAAACTCCTTCAGCAGCTCATGAAGCGAGAGCACAGTCCAAACTCTGCCTCTCTGTTTCTCTCCAAGCACCTGCATAGCTCAAGCCTGAAAAATGTAACAGTAACCAGAAGTCCCAGGCTCAGCCATCTCCCCAGGCATAACCCAACCAATCAGCTTTGTGCATCTTATTTTACAGTTCACACACACACACACACACACACACACACACAGTAACTGACTTTTCACATGCTCCAACAAAGCCAACATTCCTTTCTTCATACCTCCATATTAAGATAGAAAAGGCTTTGAAATGTTTCATTTGAGAAGAGTAACCTGATTATTGAGAATTTCTTCCAATTCATGCTTTTGTCCCTTTATAGTTACTGTTTTTCTTTCTTCCCGTCAGATTTCTTGGCAGAACTTTTCCTGTCTGTGGGCTACAAGCAAGTGGTCAATGAATATGTGCTTCGAGAAACTGTGAACAAAAAGGAAGGCCTGTGTGTGCCAAGGGTTTTCCTCCAAAGTAAATTTCAGAAGCCTCACAAAGAAACATGATTTTTGCAAAGGCCTGAAGTTGGTGGAACATTTGAACATTGTTTTGAAAATTAGCCTAACCTCTTGCAGGTTCATAAGCATTCCTTGGATGCAACCACAGAGATAATATCAAAAGGCTTTTTTTCTTCTGTTTTAAGCTAACTGCATATTTTGTTTGAACCCTCAGAACTGTGGTAATCATAATTATGGTCATGGGCATCAAGCTAATTTTATAAACTATTATTTGAACTGGTAACATTTCCACTATTTTTAGCCATGGTTTATCTACATTTGGATGACATAATGAATAGGAGTTCAGATAAAACAGAACCAAAAATTTCCATATTGCTACTTACAGTGATGTTGGCCCACATGATCCAAGAAGAAACCATAGTTTAACATCGTATCTGAATCAATGGAATATATATATATATATATATACACACACACACACACACACACACATACATACTTACATACATACATATACACACACACACACACATTATATGTGTGTGTGTGTGTGTGTGTGTGTGTGTATGTATAATGGGAGAGTATTTCCTTTGCTTGCTCACAAAAAACTAGTATACCAGAATAATTTGGTTCAAAAAAACCTCACTTTCTAAAAACTTTAAAAGTAACCTTTTTTTTTCAAATTATGTTTGTTTTATTAACCTCTTCAAGAATAAGAACAAATGTTCAGATGTGTTGTTTAAGGAATCACTGGGTTGCTGTGAGTGTTCTGGGCTCTATCGCCATGTTCCAGAAGCATTCTCTCCTAACGTTTCATCCACATCTATGGCAGGCATCCTCAGATATTGAGGGGGGTCTGTTGGAAACTAGCCAAGTAATCAGAGAGCAACACTCAAAAAGCAGGGGAATTCCAGACAAGAAAATCAGGGCCAGCTAACACCTCCAAAGGATTGCCCCAGACAGCAATCATCCAGGCTTTGAAGCTGCAAGACCATTCAATGCTAATCAAGGTGGCCAGGTGCAACACTCACACTTGCCTTAAGCAGACAAGAGTTCTCCCCCCCCCCCTGCAAAAAAACTGGGACATTCCAGAGATATATACACCTCAAACAATAAATCCAATATCTGCTTTGAATTGGATTATCTGAGTCCTCACTGCCAGATAATCCAGTTCAATGCAGATTTTATATAGCTGTGTGGAAGGGGCCTAAGTGAACTTATTTCACATATGCATCACCAGCATTTATTTTAAATAGCTATATTTGCTGAAATGAGAAAGAACTAAATATCCTGCCAACAAAAGTTAATAAGTTAAAAAAATGAATAACATCGGCTTCTTAAGTGGCTAAGACAGGAATTTGCTCAGAGAATTGCTGGTTCGTTTTGTTTGATGCCAGAATCGCAATTTGGTTCTACGGATGCATTGCTAGAACAAGTTGATGATTGATAGTCCATAGCAGATCTGAGAGAGAACTAATTATCCTTGCCATGAAAGTTAAAAAATACAAAAATGAAAAAGTGAGTCCAAAAATGTTTGAATGGTTTTCTTTTACATTAATATTAGGTAATACTGCAATCTGTCATCTGCATTTTGATAGCCTATAATGGGGCACCCACACATCTTCTTCCACATGTTCACTTAATAAAGACCATTTGTAGATTTGTGCCAGATACATCAATGAACCGTCAGAGGCATGTCCTGACCCTCACCTCCCCTGAAAAAAAATCAAGTAAGTATTGCCGAAGGCTTTCATGGCTGGAATAACTGGGTTGTTGTAGGTTTTTCGGGCTATATGGCCATGTTCTAGAAGCATTCTCTCCTGACATTTCGCCTGCATCTATGGCAAGCATCCTCAGAGGTGGTGAGGTCTGTTGGAAACTAGGAAAATTGGTTTATATATCTCTGGAATGTCCAGGGTGGGACAGAGCACCTGATGAACCAACCTGGACACAGCATATTATTTGAGAATACAGAAATACTGGAGGACTCTTAACAGTTACCATGTCAGATTACACAGAAAAGCCACTTAAATCCATAAGAATGTGGACAATTTCAACAGAAAGGAGGAAACAATGGAAATGAAGAAAATCTGGCTACTAGTCTTAAAAACCTCTAAAATTATAACAGTAAAACAACACTCAAACACAAAGAAACTCCAGAGAGGAAACAATCAGGGATAGCTAATCTCCTCTCAACAAAAGATTCCCCCAGGCACTAGCAAGCCACACCAAAAAAATGCCAGGCCATCAAATGCTAATCAAGGTGGCCAATTGAAACATTCACACCTAGCTCCAACAGACAAGAGTTCTTTGTCCCACCCTGGTTATTCCACAGATATATAAACCTAATTTTCCTAGTTTCCGACAGACCTCACAACATCTGAGGATGCCTGCCATAGATGTGGGTAAAAGGAATGCTTCTGGAACATGGCCGTATAGCCCGAAAAATCTGCAACAACCCAATCAAGCAATGTTTGTGAGAATGAGTACTACAAGTATGCAGATGTTTGCATTGAGAAAATTCACTTTCACAGAGGACTCTGACTGGGCAGCATCTCTCAGGTTTTTGTGGATAACCCATGGTAACCCTGCTGGTTATATAAGGATGGGATAATAGCAAGTAGAGATAGCCCACCTAGCTTATTTTCAATATTTGGAAGGGACTATGTGTGTCCCTCCCCTCCCCACTAAATGTTTTCCAGGGTTTAAGACAGGCATGGACAAACTTCAGCCCTACAGGTGTTCTGGACTTCAACTCCCAGAAATCCCAGCTAAGTTACTGGTAGTTAGGAACTGTGGGAGTTGAAGTCCAAAACATCTGGAGGGCCAAAGTTTGCCAATGCCTCCTTTAAGACAATGGATAAAGTATGGTTCTCTAGATGTTGCACTGTAACTCCCATTATACTTCCTAGGGCACATAGGAACTGCAGTCGGGTACCAAATGTAGGCTCTGCTTTGTGGGTGTTGTGTGCCTTTAGGCCATTTCTGACTTACTACAAAGACCCTATCATGGGATTTTCAGGAGCTGGGCGTGTGTGAATCACCCAGAGTCGTCCAGTGGTTTCCATGGTGGAGTGGGGCATCAAACCCTGGTCTCTGGAGTTGTGGTTCTGATGCCCAAACCATTACACCATGCTGGCTCCCAGACCACACTTACTCCACCCCAATTTTACACTATTTACATTATTGTGATGATATTCCCCTTTATTCATTAGGTGGCGCTATATACCAAGCTTTGGTATCCTTAATTCAGTAGAGCAAAGCCAAAGGAAATGTTCATGCATCTCCCTGAATAAGTAAACTGGTTTCCCTGTCCACTTTCCTGCCTGTAAATTGCATTAGCTGATTCTTGATTTTTAATCTCTTTTATTTTATGGAAATTGGAGGCAGGTGCATGAGGATTTGAGACAATGGTACTTGATTTGAGTGGCTGGGGTAGGAGAAGAGCAAAAAATCATTCCCACTATAGTTTTGATCCTTCAGTCATGAAGAAATTATTTTATCAAGCGGGAAAGGAGGAACTGACATTTTTAAGGTTACTTTATGGGGAATGATTACTTTACAGTTTGTGGGAAATAGCATAACTCCCATGTCTGAATGTACTTGCAGGCCAAATATTTTATATGCTCAGAGAGTTGTTCACAGGCATAGGAGCATTCAATTGCACTTCTACCTGCCTGCCAGCCAAAGTGATATGCTCCCAGAAGGAGGGCTTGGAAAAGTTACTCTTTGGGACTCCAGTTCCTGAAACTCCCTAATTCTTTTACTATTGTTGTTATGTGTCTTTGATTCAATTCTGATTTGCTGTGATCCTAGCAGAGGAATTTATAGGAAAGAAATTCTCAAAAAGATTTCCCATGGCTTTCCTAAGGCTGAGAGACTGTGTTTTATCCAGATCAAGCAGTGGGTTTCAATGGCTGGGGATTCGAATCCTGCAGACTACTTCAACCAGAGAAGTCAGCCATAGCAAAGCACCTGATGAACCAACCTGGACATAGCATATTATTTGAGAACACAGAAGTGCTCAACCACTCTAACAACTACCATGTCAGGCTACACAGAGAAGCCATTAAAATCCACAAACATGGACAATTTCAACAGAAAGGAAGAAACCATGAAAATGAACAAAATCTGGCTACCAGTACTACAAAAACTCTACAATTATAACAGTAAATAAAGAACAAAACTCAAACACAGGGGAACTYCAGAGAAGAAACAATCAGGAACAACTAATCACCTCTCAACAAAGAATTCCCCCAGGCAGTAACAGGGCACACCTAAAAACTGTCAGGCCATCAAATGCTAATCAAGGTGGCCCGTTGAAACATTCACACCTAGCTCCAACAGACAAGAATGCTTTCTCCCAACCTGRACTTTTCACAGATATATAAACCCAATTTTCCAAGTTTCYAACAGACCTCACAACCTCTGAGGATGCCTGCCATGGATGCAGGTGAAATGTCAGGAGAGAATGCTTCTAGAACATGCCTATACAGCCTGAAAAACCTACAACAAGCCAGTGATTCCAGCCATGAAAGCCTTCAACAATACGTATTATCTCATGTTGACTGAGTAATCTGACTGAATATATCAAGGAAGTATATGAGAAAGGCTGCATTACGGGAAAAGTTTTTGTGGACTTTATGGTAACCCTATGACACGGTGAAACATAGAAAAATGCTTCATAAAGTCTACATATTACCCTGGACTATGATTTCACAAAAACTGTCCAGATCCTCCTAGAAAACTGCAGCTTTAGTATGGAGTTTCAAGGCAGGAGAAGTAGATGGAGGAGGCAAAAGAATGGTGTGTTGTAATAGTACACCTCAGTGTATGGGTTAAGCCCCTTATCTCTTTAAATAAGGCACTTTTTATATGGCATCTAATTGTTGCCAACTTGTACACCACCCTGAGTCGCCTTCAGGCTGATATGGGCGGAATACAAATATAAATAAACAAACAAATAAATAAATAAATAAAATGACTTAACAAAATTTAAAACATTGAAAATTAAGTCCATTTTTCAGTGATTAATAGAACACAAAATATGTTGTTTGGAAAAATCATAAACAGTGAACAAATCAGCATTATTCCTTACTTGGGGAAGCACCTCTGCTCAAAATGTATAGTCTATCTTATTTCTTTGAAGGTGTAATATTCTGTACTTTGCCTTGGTGTTCATTTTATTAAACTCCATAGGGATATCAGTGTTAGTCTTGGCCTATAACGCCCTATATGGTTCCGGCCCAGCTTCCCCGTCCGAACGTATCTCCCTCTACATCCCGCCTCGGAATCTAAGATCGTCCGGGGAGGCCATGCTCTCAATCCCGCCTTCTTTGCAAATGCGTTTGGCGGAGATGAGAGACAGAGCCTTCTCAATGGTGGCCCCTCGCCTGTGGAATACGCTCCCCAGCAAAATTAGGTCAGCATCATCCCTCCTCTCCTTTAGGAAGAAGCTCA